CAACCGTTTGAGTAAGTTCAACCCGAAAAACCTGCATGTTACTCAACACTGTTGAAGCTCAGATTTGGTTTAATTCTTCCAAAACTTGCTGAAAAGTTGTAGGAAAACTCCTAAAGACTGACTCTTGCGGCAATACAATTCAGTCTTGATGTAAAAACAAAAGAGTCTTTTATTTGTATAGAATCCAACAAAAAGAAATCATGTAGTGGATTTTGGAACTCCATATTTCTCATGTCGTGGGAGTTAGCGCTTGATAAACGTATGACCAATTGCTGCATGCAATACGCAGGTACATGAATGTTGTTAATGCTAAAAATACCTTTACAGTTGCCAGTTTTCACCTGACATTCTCAAAAGATAGAGTTCCAATGAGAAGAAAAGAGTTTTGTTCACAAGTACCATAGCATCAATCTTCAAAGAGCAGAATGAATTGCGTCGGACTCTAGGACTTTTTCTTAATTTCAGTCATCCCGTCATGAAAGTGAATCACGAAACTTTAGGATGTTTGGTAGTGCATTTCTTTTGATTCCAGATTTTCTTCGAAGAAGACCTTTAACTAGAAAACTGATGTACTTAAACGATGTATGTACACCAAGATTAACTTCGAACTGACACTGCTTTATTATGAATGCATTTTACAAGGAATCTTCATGTACGTCACCTACATAGAATACAATTACAATGGAGACAGTATCACAAAAAGTACAGAATTTCTATCTACTTTTGTTGTGCTTTTGCAAATCTTTCGCTGACATTTTTCCAGTTGGCAATTTTCCAGATGGCTTTGACGTAATCAGGTCGAACGTTTTTGTACTGGAGATAGTAAGCATGTTCCCAAACGTCGATTCCAAACAATGGAATCAATCCAGTAGTAGACTCCAAAGGATCTTGGTTAGGACAAGTTGTGATCTGAAAGTACAATACCTCATACCAGTCTAGCCCAACAAATACCAACACAACCTAACCTTTAGTATTTTTCTTTTTGGGCAGTAACCCAGCCATCCCCATCCGGAGCCCTGCACCGCTATTGTGGATGCCGACATCGATTCCTGCATTTTTTCCAGTGATCCGAAATCCCGCTGAAAGCTGTCATATATTTCAAAAAAGTGAAATAACATGTTTGCTATTACGACTGGGAGCCTGAGTTCAAAGGAAGGCTTCTAATCCAATTTTACATCGCTACTTCATAATATAGAGAAGAGTTGCTAAACTAGAATAATATGCTTCCCGTAATCGTATTTAAATTTATATTCGGCAGTGCTCGTATAACTACAG